TCTACGAATGGAAAAATGCTCGGCCGATAAAAGCAGTTATGTGTTCTCGAATCGAAAGGAAAACTTCGGACATTTTGGCTACCGCGTTTGTCGGAGAATGAGTTATTTTTCTGACTGGTTACGTGCTTGTGATTTTTGAGATAGTACCTGCGAATCCGGTTTTCGCCATTTCTTTTTGCCCCCGATGTTCGACTTTGAACTTAGTGATTTATTCTCTGCTTTCTGGAAGTAATCTGCAACAAATATTTTCTTTGCAATCCCAGATCACTTATAGAAGCAAAAATATGACTGAAGGAAAATCTATCCCTCTCATATTTTGAAGCTCGAAAATTGCCTGTTCATCTACTACCAATAGTTGTGGAAAAACGAAAAAAATTACTGAGACAAGATCGACTTGAACAAGTTCCATCAGGAGAAAGCAAATGGGCCTCCCCATTAGTAATTTTAAGAAAGAAGGATGGGGGTCTGCGCATATGTGGTGACTACAAAATAAGTGTTACCCACAAAATATGTGCAGACTCATATTCTATTTCCAACATAGAATGGGCTTTGAACTTCCTTTTGCGTGTATGAAAAAATTCTTCAAAACTGACATAAAGTCGACATGCCATCAAATGCCTATAGACGTCAACAGAATTATTAAAATGGCAAAGGATGACATATGGAATTAAAACGCAAGTGATATTTTTCAAAGAGTTACAGAGCAAGTTATTGGTTGCGGTATAAAAAAATACAATATGTTACCAGGAGTAATGGATAGTGCCTCGGATAGAGGAATTGAAGGGCCAAGTTCGAATTCCATTCAAATCCATTGCAATGACTCTCCCCTAATACCCTTGGGAAAGGTATGAATTCTCTTCTTCTCCCCGTTCTCCCCGCCTCAGCTATGAATAAACAGCAGGACAGACCGGGTTCTATAGCTTTGGATGGCAACTTGTATACCGTAGAAAGTAATGGCATTCTACTGCGGGAAAAAATCCGCCTCATCAGTTATGTATCGAAAGATACATGATCGCCCAAGCGTGTATCACGCATGACACAAAACTGACTCACCAGGATGTCATGTGTGTTGGTGCTATTAACGAACGAAGAGTTAAAATGAACAAAAAATAGTATGGTTTTGAATAAGTTAAAAAATGCTGGATTAATAAATAAAGAATAACATGTGAGTACAACACTAAAAAATATACTTTTTTGGATATTCCATATCTGATGAAAGCACATCACCAGACCAATCGTTAATTGACAAATTATTAAATGCTGATGTACCTAAGAAGAAAAAAGAATTGGAACCTTTCTTCGGATTTGTAAATTTCTACAGAAGATATGTAGAGTGATACTCTGAATTGATAAAATCTTTTGATGCTTTAAGAGAAAAGAATGTGGAATTTATTTGGACAAAAGAACAACTAGTGGCATTTGAAAATTTAAAAGCTGTTCTGGCAAAGAAGCCAGTTGTGAAAATATTCGACCCTAGAGAAGAAATAGTAGTAACAACTGACGTAAGTGAACAGTCAATTTCGGGAATATTAGCTCAAAATGGTCACCCTGTTTCGAGAAAATTATCAAAACCAAACTGAATCACTCCAATATTGAGGAAGAAGCGTTAGCCATAATATGGGCGACAAATAAAACTCGACAGTTTTTATTAGAAAGAAATTTCTGCTAAGTTCCGACCATAGACATGTAGAATTCATATTTAATCCTAGGAAAGAACTTTTTAAGGTAATGTCGTCTAGAATTCTAAGATGAGCCTTAATGTTCTTAATGACGTTTGACTTTGATATTGAGTATGTGAAAGGCAATACCATTCTGCATGTAGATGCTTTGTTGAGATTAAGGTTTATTACTTTTGAAAGTGAGAAAGAGGAGGAAAAATTTGAAGATGCTTTCTTAACACGGGTCAAAACTGATAGACAAATTAGCTAAGAATACAAAACGAGATTGCATACTCAACAGTATATTGTTCAGGACAAAAAAAAATAAGTAGAATAATTGCTCACGAACAGAAAGGCGTTTTAAAGTATTTAAATACAAATTAATTGTAGATGATGGTGTAATATGTAATGGAGATGTAGTGGTTCAACCTGCAATGCCAAGGAATAAAGTTATAAAGAGTTTACATGAGGATGTTCATTGCGAAATAACATGTACACAAAGGAGATTAAGGCTAGAGGCATGGTGGCCAGGCTATTCTACAAATGTAGACGAATACATAAAAAGGTGTAAAATGTGCAATGAAAGAAGAAAATTTAGGCAAACGAAAACACATACATGGCCTAAAGAGTCCCAACCTTGAGACAGAGTACACATGGATTATGCACATGTTAATGGAGTGAAATTACTATTAATACTGGTAGATTTGTATTCAGGTTGGCCAGAAGTAATACAGGTCTCCAACAAAAGAGGTTCAACCGTGAAAAAATAAGGATCATATTTTCAAGAAAGAGAATTCCTAAAACTCTAGCATCTGACAACGCCCTAGAGTTCTGTGACGAGGAACTATGCCAACGATGGAACAAAATTAGATGCAAGCCCCTTCGTAAATCCGCAATCAGATTAGCAAAAATGATGTTGCAAAATATAAAAAAATGGATTGAAAATATTTTTACAACGGAAAGAAAAGATAGAAACATTTCTTCCTTGATTATTGGACAATACCACATACCGGAAAATGCTGTCTGTTGTCATTTCCGTCCTAGCTGAAATCATTTAGAGTACAACTGATTACGTGGATATCCTAACTAATCGAGTGGAGGCCTGTTCAGCCAAATCAGAACCGCTTATCGAAATTCCAAGGTCGCTGAAAGCATCAATTGCGTTCAACCTTAAGACATTGATGGCTCTCAGCTCAATATCAACATTTTGGTTGAATGTTGAATGACAACAAAGATGAGGACTTTTGTCTATAAATAACACCTCATCCCAAAATACAAAAAGCTTGAATTTTGTCTTTGCTGAGTGACAGGATCTGAGGTAGCAGAAGGATTGCAGAGAAACTTTTGAAACTTATTTTCACTTTAGCATTGGAAAGATTTCAATTTTTCTAGAGATTTTTCTGATTTAATATTCCTAAAATTTGCACATCTTTTCTAACAATTTTAGTTTTAGTTTTTCCTTATGTTAGCTCTTTGCAACTTGTTTGCATTGAATTTTTCCTTTATTAAATGTTGACAGAATGTGACAATTTTTTTTCTTAAAGAATAGGTGTTAAAAATGAGAAATTGGTGGTTGCACAATTCACAGACCTTATTAAAAGTTTATAAAAAAAAATGTTCCTATTAGAGTAGTCGCCATTCAATTTCAAATAGGATCGACATTATCTGACTGTTTGCATAGATTTTTTATATCTGTAATGTTAGAATTATACCAATAAGTCTTGTGATTAGCAATCAATTATATATTCCATTCCATCCCAATACTTGCTGAAAGTCATTCCTGTTAAGTTCTAATCTTTAATAAGTTAGATTTTATTTAAACTTTTTTTAAGTAGCATTTCTTTTCTACACGAATCTTAATTGAAAACTCCTCTTGTTTAAGTGACCTCTTATTAAAATACATTCGATGTTGCTAGTATATTATAATCATTATAAAAATTAATGATATAGACTTCTGATACTCGGCGTGATCTTAGAATCTCTTCTCCATTGTCAATTGCTTGATGCAAGACTATGGTTAAAAGAGATAATAAAGACAAATGAGGGCAAGGCTTTAATAGCAGCAGCAGCTCTAGTAGAAAGTGAAATGTAGGTAAATGCAGTCAAGGGTGAAAGATCAGCATCAACAGCAGCACTTACCATCGGGCAAATTAAGATTAACGCTGCAAGTGCTCCGCTCTGAATTGTCCCACGTTGTGGATTAAAAGTACTGGTTCGTGAATTGACTGATGTAATAATTGTGACTTCAAGTTGGACACTAGAAATGGGGTGAGCAGTACTAAATATGACCTACACCAGTGCTTCTCAAACTATTGGATATGGCGGACAGGCATTTCTTTTTTCTCAATGTGTCATGTACCTGTAATATTTATTGGTAATATTAATATATACCGGAAACGATATGTACAATGAATATAATAAAAGTTGACTATTTTTTATCTTCTATTTATTTTACAAAATACAGGGTGTCCATAAAGTCTGTGTGCACTTTAAACATTTATAACTTCATTTGTATTAGCGATAGAAATAGTCTGTAAAAATGTTATAAAGTTTAATGTACCTGGTTTTAAGTATAGCTAAAATAACTAATGTGATTTCAGGCATTACTGTAAATCAGTTGGCAAATGTTTTCCGTGAACTGCAAAATCGTATTACCCTTTGTATTGCTAATGATGGAGTACATGTGGAAACTTAAATAAAATTTTAATAAAACCTTAAAAAATATAGATTTACTTCTTTCTAATCCTTTTTACAAATTATTTCTATCGCAAATACAAATAAATTTATCAATTTTTTAAAGTAAACACGAACTTTATGGACAGCCTCTACAATTCAATATGAAAACATATAAAAAATTTTATAAAATAATAAGCAGTTTATTAACAGAAAAACAAAAATTATATAGCCTTACTCTTTACAAATGATTCTTTAACATGTCCTGGACATTGACCGTGTACCGGTAACTGATGGTTTGCGTACGGGCACCGGCACGCGGACCACCATTTTGAGTAGCACTGAGACGACATATCATCAGACATAGTCCGTGGGACGAAAACAATCGACACCCGAAGTTTGTAGATAAAGAGTGCTGCTCGAAGTTCTTTATCGTTTATCTAAATGATGAAGGCCGCAGAGCATAACGACCTAAACGTTGTGATACCAAAAACAAAGATGAAGACAATCGTCTACGTTCAAATAATATAAGTAGAGATAAAGCAGAGTTAAGTGTCTCTATGTTGTAACTCAGCCTGTATCAAGAAAGAAAAAATCTGTCTGAGTGTGTTCGTTAGCCATTCGAATAGCTAAAACTAGCTCTTCCTGTATTCTGAATGCTGAAAGGATTTACAGCATCTTGTCTCGGTGAATATCATGGAAGGCTTTTGCTGAAATCAACAAAGATAAAGATAGCAGGCAATTTTCTGGCCTTGGCAACTTCAATTGTTCGCCGCAGGGATGCTGGATAGAAATAACACTGTTAACGTTAAAAGTAAATCTTTCCAATACTGAACGCATCCTTAAGAGAGAGAGAGAGAGAGAGAAGTGGAGAGAGAGAGAGAAGGGGGGAGAGAGATAGAAAGCAAGAGATGAAATAGAAGGACGGATTGATTGAAGGATATCTCTATGGAGATTGACTAATACAAAGAGACGTATACATATCCGTATATATGTGGATAGATAGATAGATAAATAGATAGATAGATAGATAGATAGATAGATAGATAGATAGATATGAACAGACTGAGATAGATAGATAGATAGATAGATAGATATGAACAGACTGAAATAGATAGATAGATAGATAGATAGATAGATAGATAGAAAAAAGAAAAAGACTAATATAGAATGAGAGAGAGATAAATATATAGACAGAGAGAGATAAACAGACTGAGATAGATAGATAGATAGATAGATAGATAGATAGATAGATAGATAGATAGATAGAAAAAAGAAAAACAGGAGAAAAAAGACACATACAGATATAAAGAGAGTAAGATAAAAAATAAATAGAAAAGTCAGATAGATAGATAGATATGAACAAACTGAAATATATATATATATATATATATATATATATATATATATATATATATGCAACTTTAAAAATTATAAATATGAAACCTGGCGTATATGAAACCTAACGCAAAGTTAAAATATGTAAACATTAGATCCAACCACCCTCTGAATATAATTAATCATCCCCCCCACCAAATATAATTAATCATACCCCCCACCACTAAAGGAATAGAGTCTAGGTTATCGAGAAACTCTTCATTTAGAACGATTCTTGAAGAAAAAAACAGAAAGTATGAGAAAAAGAAATTATATATACACACTGTACACCCACACACACATACGCACACATGTGTATGTGTGTGTGTGTGGGGGGGGGTTGTACAGATGTGTTCACTGATGCTTCGTAGTGAGACAGTGTGTATGTATGGAGAGGGGATATACACATATATACACCCATGCTGACAAAAGCACACGAAAATGGAAATAGATCGAAGAACACACAGGGTTCATTAAAAGATAAGCATGCCGATAACTACTCCATCATTTCTCGGACCAATCTTAATTGTTTTATAACCCTTCACGCAGAACTTTTCACTGCCAGTTCAAGAAAGACGTTTGGATCACTAACATAAAAAAGAGAATGTCTCATATCGAGAATATTTAACATCGAAAAACATAAAGAAGAAAATGAATTATTTTTAATAATATGTGGAAATCTCCACCCTTTACCTGATGACGGTCGCAAGACCAGAAACACGCGTAGCAAAATTATGGTAAATAAAAAATAATATTTTTTTAAAAATCCACTTTACAACCAAAAACGTTCGCGGTTTCTCTCTTTTTAATATATATATATATATATATATATATATATATATATATATATATATATATATATATATATATATATATATTTATTGATTTAAAATGTTCTTTTACGCTACACAGTTCTAACCATGTTTTTTTGAAACATGGTTAGAACTGTGTAGCGGAAAAAACATATTTAAATCAAGTAATTTATAATATTAATGCTATGTAAATTTACATCGACCACTATTTTGTAAAAATAAAAAATACCTATAAGAACACCGGATTATATATCTTACTGTTCTTTTTTTTTATTTATTTATATATATATATATATATATATATATATATATATATATATATATATATATATATGTGTGTTTTTTGCGTGTGTGGATACATAAAGTCGCTTTACCCATTTCAGTAATGATAAAGACAAATTTCTAACTGGTTTTCTGTCTCTCAATTCGTATCGTCTCTATATGTCCTAATATTACTTTGTTTTTCTCATATTAGGTCATTCGTGTCACTTCCCACTTGAAATGACCGACTTCCGGAGTTTCGCAGTGCATTGTCAAGCACTGTGGTGTTTGTATACTTTAGATAATAAAAAAAAACTAAAAAAAAAACGCCTATCCAGTCGGTGGTATCTTTGAAGTAACTGTGGCGAACGATTTTCTTTTCCATTTCTGGTAGGTCGTTTAAATATCAGAATTTCAGTGACTTTTCACATACATCTTAACGAATAACATGCAACAAAGTGGATGCGTGAACTTTTGGCGCCAGTAATACCACTGGATGTTATTGTTAGGAGTCAGGGATTGAAGACATTAGAGAAGTGAAAGAAAGAATTTGGTTTGGTTTAATTTACGGCATATCAACCTAAATGGGTTATTTAATACCGACAAGATTTTTATTTTTATTTTTATTTTTTTTTACAAAAATATCCTGAGCAGACCAAGCGTAGAAATGAATACAATATGAGAGCCAGTAATAAGGAGTGCCAGAGAAAAGCGATAAGAACAAAAATTGCAATATGAGCGCTGGTAAAAACGTGATTTGTTAACAGCAAAAATTGCAATATGAGCACTGGTAAAAAACGGTTGCTGAATACATTTAGTTTATAATACCAAGAAATTCATATCAAGGACACATGGCACACTGGCACAGTGGATAAAGGCGTTGGTTAGATCCAGTGACAGGACCAAAAAAAGCGTGAGTTCAATACCAGGTTAAGGCAATGTAGAACTTGGAGAGGGTAATTGACAGCAGATAACTGGCAACTGACATCCATTAAACATGGCACGTGGAACTAGAACAGTCTACCTCAGTGAGCGAAATAAAGGGTCTAGTTCAACATTCCAACCACCTGAAGAAGGCCAGAACGTACAACGGAAACGTTGTAATAAATTTGGCGACAAAAATGAGGACAATCGTCCGAATAATGTAAATAGTGAATTTTTTTTTTATTGCTGGTAATATTTTTTTCTTGCCAAATGGATTGCTGGAAATATTTTTTCTTTTTCAAAAATATATAGCTGGTAATAATTATTTACAAAAAATGTATTGCTGGTAATATATTTTTCTTACAATAACGTAATGCTGGTAACAAATTTTCCTCAAAAATTTTATAGCTGGTATTAAACCCCATCTCTACATTTTCACAGTGCTCAGACCCCAGTTCGGAGGTCAACCACTTGCCCACAGCTGGGACCGCAACAGGTGCGACCACCCCGGGCCAGGGTGGACATGGGAACATCAGCAATCAAGAGGCTGCCCCACGCTCCTCAAAACCTCCCAACCAGAGGCCTCGCCGCTGGACATAGCTTATCGTCTTACCCAAGATGCGGATGTAGTTTATCATCTTACCCAGGACGCAAAGAAAGAAAGAAAAAGGCAGAGATAACGACGTATGAGATGTTCTCAGCCCTACCAAGAAGGGAGTAAAAACGTTTGTTCATTTTCTTAAATATTGGAAAGTGGATCGATCCGAGAAAGTTTCCTTATCTTCTCATATAAGATAGATATCATAAGCGAATGAGCGAAAGAAAGAAAAGAAAAAAGAAAACAGTTAAAAAGAAAGAAAGGAAGAAAGAAGGAAAGAAAAAAAAGAGTTAGAAAGAATGTAAAAAGTTAGAAAGAAAGTTAGAAAAAGCTTAAAAAGGAAGAAGGAAAAGAGAAAGAAAATGGTTGAGAAAGAAAGAAGGAAGGAAAGAAAAAAGTCTTAGAAAGAAGGAAAGAAAGAAAATTTAGAAAGTACCTGGAGAAAACATACAACAGTTGGCCCAACCCAAAATAAATCACAAGTGGGATCTGTGGATGTACTTGAGCAGCTACAACAGTGATTGCCTACCCGTCTTAACAGAAGGGTGTGCCGGAAACTAGTATATATATATATATATATATATATATATATATATATATATATATATATATATGATGCGATAGATAAATTGTCATCTAAATTACCCAAAAATGAAAATAATACTGGCATCTCATTTTATCAGGCATATTTACCAAAATTATACAAAAATATCTTGAAATACTGAATAGTAAATTTATTCAATAAAATTGCCATTGCCTTCAACAAAGGCGTCCAAACGCCCTCAGAATCTCCTGCAACTTTTCTGGACGGTCTCCTTGTTTAAGTTGCTGAATACTGCCATAATCCTTGCCTTCAGTTCATCTTTGGTTTTACAAGGAGTTTTGTTGGTCTCATTCAACTGCGCCCCACACATAATAATCAAGGCGTTTGCTGTCTGAGGATTTACGTGGCCAAATGTAAGGGGTGATGTGGTCGCAGAAATTGTCTGAAAGCCATTAGTGGTTTCTCCAACTTATGTGGCATGGTGCAGATTCCTGTTGCCAGCTATAGGGTCTTCCAGCAGCCACACTCTTGACCCTGGGCAGCACTACCTCCTCAAGGCACTTGATGTAGGCTTCTGTGTTGAGCATGGGGCTTTCATCTAACACATTCTGGATCAAACATGTGAGCAACGACGAATTTTTGAAGAAAAGGAAAACAAAAAGGAAAATTGTACTTGACACCAGTGAGAGACAGTTGAAGTTTCTGGGGCATATAATGAGGAAGGAAGGTTTGGAAAATCTGATGCTCACGGGGCATACAGAGATCAAGAGAGGCAGAGGAAAACAACATCGTAAGCTTGAGCAAATGGATGACAGAACATGCCTTAGGGGAATTAGCAAAAATACAAGTTTATTAAGAGCTACAAGGAATAGGAAGATGTGGGGAGCCATGATCGTCTTTGCTCTGAGAGGAAACAGCACATAAAGAAGAAGAAGCCATGATATAACACAAGAGAATGTTACTGCGCATGTCAGGACAGATCTTGTCTTATAGAGATTAATCATACGAGAGTAAGACGCCATTGAATGCGTGAATGTATCTATGACATTCAAAATGTCTAATGGGGTAAAGGCTTTACGTATTGTGAAGGATTATTAGCAAATAAATTGCATCCGGATTGTAAACACTTTCGAGTAGAATCAGGATTTGTATCCATGACACTTCGGCCATTTTTATTGCCACATTCAATTCGTCGTAACGAAGCAGCTGATGGCGATCTTGTATGACGATGTGGAAAAATATAACGGACGATACGATACGATGAGTGAATGGAATTAATGGGCCATTTTTTATTTAATATTAAATGTCTTTATAATTTGAAGACAGATGTTTTAAAAACATAACAACTGAATTAGAATAAAATGTAAGAAAAATTACATAATTCGAGAAAGAAAGAAGCAAAAAATTATTGTAGATATCACAATCACGAGACCCGTAACCCATGTAGTGAGGGAAGTGAGAGTTTTAAAATTTATTTTTATTACAATACTTAATATCGAGGAGGAGGGGGTAAGGATCAGTATTAAATATTGTAATAAAAATAAAAATAAATTTTAAAACTCTCCCTTCCCTCTCTAAACTTGACTATGTCTCTCACACTATTCCTCACCACCCTCTATGTCAACTTATATAAGCTTAATACGGCCCGTCAAAAGTATAAATTTTAAATTCATTTTTCGTTTCATCTTTGAAAGTGAAGTCTGAAGATCCAGAGAAAAATAAAATTCTCTGATGAAATAAATTATAACAAATGGAGCTAAATTATAACAAATGGTGATTTGTTTTTCTTTAAATTAAATTAGTCTCTCTGACTTAACATTGTGCTCTCACGATTTCATCTTCCTTGGGATTACCCATACGTTGCTTATATATATATATATATATATATATATATATATATATATATATATATTTAAGACATGTCTCATTGAATGATTTAGACAAGTTTTGTCTACTTATTTTCAACAGGGTCCTCTCATATTCACGGATGAGCTTCTTAGTATCATTATTAAAGGAAGAGAGAAAATTACTACGCTGATACATATTCATTTATTCTGAGTACTTTCAACATTAGCACAATGTCACCACGTGACATGAAAAGATGCTAACAACATATAAGCAATACATACGTGTGTGTGTGTGTGTGTGTGTGTGTGTGTGTGTGTGTGTGTGTGTGTGTGTGTGTGTGTTCAGGAAGAGACAAATTTCGGGTAGACCACTACTCCAGAAGGCAAAATCTCATCGATTTGCTCAGTATTGATACTTCAAACGTAGACCACTATATGTATTACTATTTAGGTAGCTACCTGTATATTATTTCTTATTGTCATAGCAATACCTAAGAAACCAGGCGCAAACTAATATGGAGTCAACCGGACAGCCTAATCAACCACATTTTTTTCTTTCTATTTGCCGTGTTCTTTCAGGACATAGGCCGTCATGGCTCTCCACTTCCTCCATCCCGTGCAGCTCTTCCCTTTGCCACCTCCCCAAGATCACGTTCTGCCATCTACTTGCTTAAATCCGTTAGGTATATCATGAGTTGTTTCTCCTTGTCTCTCTTTCCCTCTATTTGACCCGTGAGTATCAGATTCTCTAGGCCCTCTTGCCTCATTATGTGTCACAGACCTCTGCCTCTTCATAATGTTAAGTATAAACCTCCTCCTTGTTTGCATTCTCTCTAATATCCCAACGTTGCTCACAAGCTCGCTCCATGATATCCTTAGCATCCTTCTGTAGGACAACATCTCCGTCGCCTCGAGTCGCTTCTTCATCTTCGAGGAAATCGTCCAACATAACTCATAATCTTAATCCTGATGAATAGACCCCGCAGCAGAATCGGGCCAGAGATAGGACAACAACAGCGTGGGCTAGTCAAAGACATTTGAACAAGGAACGCGATATTCATGCTCTGGATGTTATCAGAAAGAGCAATACAAATGCAGAAGGACGTGCACCTGTGTTTTATAGACTCTGCAAATGCGCTCGACAAAGTACGCCACAATGATCTTTTAGTGCTGCCCCCTCAACCTTGACATATTCAGGAAAGACATTAGAATAATCAAAAATCTCTACTGGCAGCAAACCGCCTGCATATGGTCAGAAAATGAGTTTTTTTTTTTAATCGGTATCACCCCATGCAAGGCAATAAAGCCACTAAGACATACGGGGTTACAACGTGTGGAAGAATTAGGAAAGAAAACTTAATGATGAGCAAAAAGAGGAAAGTGTAATCAGGAAGACAGCAGAGAGCGATTGACATTTAATTTAAATTTTTACAGATGAGAGCTGAAAAGCATGGAGACGAAAGGGAGTTTCACAAGCGAGAAGTGCGAGAAAAGAAACTGTTAGCATAGAACTTACTGCTACATGTAGTCAGTTCAACTGTCAACTGATGAGATCTCGATGCTATTCTAGTACTCTGCTTAAATTCAAATAGTCTAGGTATCATAGCATAGAGAGGTCCTACGAAGAATACCATGAAAGTATTTATAGAAAAGACACAGAGAGAAGAAGGGCGTAATTTAATATACAGAGAAACCTCGGTTCTCGAACGTCTCAAGTGTCGAACAAATCGGTTTTCGAACAGAAAATTCTAGATGAAAATACCTCGTTTATCGAACAAAATTTCGGTTCTCGAACAACATTGCCGAACCGAGTCAACACGAATGGAATAATTTTGGGGTCGATCGCCATGTTGTATACATTTGTGTGTTGTGCCGTTGCTTTTCTTTTCCAATTTTATTATACTGTGACTTTTTTTTTTCTCTGCATTGATTCCTATTGGTAAAATAGTTTCAGTTTACGAACATTTCGGACTACGAACGGCGTTCAGGAACGAAATAAATTCGTGAACCGACGTTACAATGTACTAATAAAAATTGATGGCAAAATGTATTGTGAAAGAAAGCACGCTTTTACGAGATCTGAGAAACGTAAAGGGGGCTTTAATCTTGAAAATGCTGAATGCTTTTTCGATGATAGATCTTTTGATTCGCTAGATGGATACCCGTTCGTCTCCTTCATTGATATCTATTCATTTTTTTTTTTAATACATTGTATCAGTTTATTAAGAGCTTCAGGTAAATCCTTCTTTTCAAATAGATTGCGATTGTGTCGTTTCCTGAACCACAACGGCGGACATGTCAGCTAGCGTTCATACATAGGTTTAGTCGAAAACGCTGAAGATTACATACATATAGGTATATTCATTTATGTTTACAAACACGAATGCATACCAAAATAAGCCTATATTCAAATATATACGTACATGCAAACACATACACATATCTAAATATACATGCACACGCGTTTAGATGTTTACAAATATCTACAGGTAAACGCACCTATATAAAAACACACACACACGCATACACACACATATATATAAGTATGTGTACGTTATAAATATATATCCACAATTATTAAACCTATATATATAAAAAAAATATATATATATATATATATATATATATATATATATATATATATATATATATATATATATATATATATATCTTTGTTTATGATTTTTCTCGATCTTTCTTTCATATAATCCAAATTTTCTGCATCGTATATTTTTTTGGTTATTTCTGGCTAACAATGTCTTGTCATAATCAGGCTTTGAAAAACACATATATATATATATATATATATATATATGGGCTTCACTTTAATCTATGGTGGTAAGTTAGTTCTATATATATATATATATATATATATATATATATATATATATATATACAATCTGTGAAAAAGACTGAGAGATGAAAACATTAAGAGAAAAGATGGGATGATAAAATCTACACAACAACGTATGTGTACTTTAGACGCACAAACAAAAGTCTAGTTGTTCACAACTGAGTGGCGCAATTCCTGTGTACATCTATTTGTGCGTGAGAATCTACTTGCGTGCAAGATAGAATGATAGAGAGAGAGAAAGAACGCGTGAAAAGCGAGAAATGTTTGTAAGTATTTGAACGTAAGCATAAAGAGAGAAAGGGGTTATAAGAATTGTCGGGTTACTACAGTTGACATGCTTCTACTCTCGAATGCCATTAACAATGAAATCATTTCCTTATCGGGTACTTTTAAGAATCGGGTTTGAACCAAATTTTAATAAATAGAACGTTCCCCTCTTTTCTCACATCTCTTTGTTTGTGTAGATTAATGCTTCTTAACCTATTTCAGCCCATTGACCATTTTTTTCTTCAAGAAATTCAAATGGACCACACCTACTTTTTCTTTTTGGCTGTTTTGTTTTCACACTAAAATACTGAATGAAAAGACAAAATAGTCTATTTTCATTTTAAAAGGTGACTGCCTTGATTTTGGTGTTTCAGACACAAGATATCAAAATCAACGTTGATTGTATCATTCAGTCCTAGTCTGATAGTTCCTCTACTGTTGAATTAAAAATAAATCTATTATATATAGTATATATAACATATATTTGTAGGTCTGATGAATCGGATCGTGATTACGATTCCAATGTAATAAATTATGACCATGGAATATTAGAGTTTGGGCCTTTTATATTATATTCTTACTCTGTCTTGGACATTGAGTTCCACCTGAATTCTATCCTCTTGGAAATTTATTCATGTAAATATATATATATATACATGCATACATATATATATATATATATATATATATATATATATGTGTGTGTGTGTGTGTGTGTGTGTGTGTGTTTGTGTGTGTGACATTTTATGTTTATACATTCTTTTTATAGATACAAATATTTAAGTAAATGCTCTATTTATAATAAAAAACTAATTGTTGGACTTTGCCCATTTCATAATGTGTGACGTCATTTGTTTACATTTGGACACGCCATGAGCAGATATGAATGTACGTGAGAGAATCATGGAAGATTGTAGTTTAAAAACAGTAAAATCGACCTTGATAACCGAACGCTCCTCTGTGGTTCCGTATAGGATAGAGGTTTGATTCCTGTCGGAGTACGAATATTTTCTATGAAAATTTCTCGACAATTCAGGCCGGTCAATGTTATTTAATACTGTTTATCATTTTACTTAAATATTTGTATCTATAAAAGAATGTATAAACATAAAATGTCTTAAAATAATTTTCGGACTTTGTCCATTTCATAATGTGATATATATATATATATATATATATATATATATATATATATATATATATAAATAAAATAAATATAGCACTGCATAATACCTACGTAATTTTGAAATGTCTGTAATTAAACAAAATATTATATTTTTAATTCTTCAAAGAATAATTTATGAATAATTTAGGTACATTTTGGGGAAATGGCTACAATTTTTAATGGCTACAATTTTTAATGGCTACGAATTCCTTGTGGACCACTAGAAATGCTATGTGGACCACCGGTGGTCCACCTGAACCATTTGAGAATTACTGAGGTAGATGAATACATCGAGAGAGCGTGAAAGGCACAAAGCGAATGTGGCAGGACCATGTGACAAAGAGTACAGCTTTAAATGCTATGGGTTCCAATCATTACAAACAGAAACCTTACTGAACAGGCATACCACAGATGAAAAATATCAACAATTCATTTAGTTCACCATCTCGTTTTTATTACTTCAAACGTTATTTTTATTGGATACCCGTATTTGAGTAGACGTTCCGTTTATTTTAAACAGTACCGTATTTCCCCATGTATAATACGTGTCCTTTGACCTATGGATATTACTTTCATCAAAACCGTCCCAAATTTGTCCGGGAAAAGTTAATATTTTGTTCTCGTGTATAATACATATCTCTAATTTTTAGGCTTAAAAATTTGGGAGAAATGTGCCTATTTATCCTAAATATTACACTTTAGCTACTTCCTAACGAATAATTTTAATTAATGTAATTACCCATGTATAATACGCCTTCATCCAAAATACGCGCCCCTAAAATTGTGCTGAAAGTGTGGAAAAATGCTTCTACTCATGCATAATACGCACCCTTTGTTTGGTAATCAAAACCGATAAATTCTACCTCTACAATTTCATTACGGCCAGCGTTTCCTACTTTTATTTAAAAAATGTATTTAATCATAAAATAATATCTTACTAATTTATTTTTATGATAATTCTTATATTATTTTACATTTGTAAGTATTGTTAGGTACATATTATTGTATTTGACATCCTTATAATTTCGTAATCTCCGAATGTTTGTGTCAAATTGTCGTATGTTTGGGGTAAGTAGTCATTTCGCAACTGAAATCGACCGATGAAACGGCAATTTTTTAAATATTTTTTGTAACTGTACATAATACGCACCCCTAATTGAGCTTATTATTTAAAAAATGCGTATTATACATGAGGAATTATGGTATTTATTTCGTTTACAGGCGCGCACATTGGGAGAAAACTTGAAAAAAAAAATCTGCCCTCAAGGAGAATTCGAACCTGCGACTCTCTTTCCAAGATAAACGACATTCTGATCCAGTGTGCCTTGACTGCTCGGCTACGGAGAGCTTCAATAGACAAGTAAGGTTTTATTTGTCTTAATGCTCATTCACTCGTTCAAATTTTCTCTAAAGTTCATATCAGCTCAGTTTCGTATCCGATACGCAAACAAAGCAATTTCACGCGTGCGCAGACCGGTGGGGTCTATTGCAAAAGGGAGACACAGGGTCGAATCCTGTCGGAGAGCATATTTTCTGTAATAACTCATCTTTTTTTTTCAATGTTTGTTTAAAGTAATCGATTAAAAGTTTAAAATTCTCCATGTTTGATGATAAACTACATTTTCTAATTAAATGTAAATGTTTCGCTGACTAAGCTATTTAATGATATGATCTAGTTCTCATGTTAATGTTTTAGTTTTGTAGCAATTTGCGGTGTTGGGTGAAACTATCTCTAGCCGATTGTTTTTTTATATTGAACTTCCTTGGCTCCTATAAGCATATCTATAAACATAGTTCTTCGCCATATATCAACATTAATCTTCTTTTTTTAACAATCGCAAATTTTTTAATTTTTTTTATACTTATAATCAGTAAAAAGTCCTAGGTCTTTATTTAATTCTATATAGTGGTATTAAGTTTATTCAGAAAAGCAAAGGAAGAGGCTAGAAGTTCGCATCTAAGATTGTCAAAATTAAAATGTTGAGCTATAGCAATGGGCATTGTCTTTTTGTGGTTGTTGACTGGAATTAACACTACGTTACGTTAACCGTCCATGTATATTTACACTGATGCATGAATATATTTCAATGTCTTTATTTAGATAAGTTTATCATCTTCGTGAACAGTCGTCTTTCATGAAACTTATATATATATATATATATATATATATATATATATATATATATATATATATATATATTAGGCAGCAATCTTTCCTTTATACATGTTTCATTAAAAACGACAGACAAGGTACTACGGTTAAGCTTTTTATTTAATTTTTCTTGTGTTCGAACAAGAGCTTTCTTTTTCTGGACAAAGAGTGTGTAAGAACTGTCCAAATATTTTATATTTCCGAGCGCTTTCGGCTATACCTATATAGCCATCATCAAGGATGATTCGATTTTTCAGCTTAATATATATATACATACATATATATATATATATATATATATATATATATATGTGTGTGTGTGTGTGTGTGTGTGTGTGTGTGTGTGTGTGTGTGTGTGTGAAAGTGTATATAAATATAAATAAATATATGTATGTATAATTATTTATATATTATATACATAGTACTTATTAAGCGCTCAATATCAGAGATAGAGCTAACATATTTGGTTGGATAGATGTGAGTTTATGACCCTGGGTTTCACGCTTTAGCGATCGTCAACGATCGCTAAAGCGTGAAACCCAGGTCACAAACTCAATCTATATATATAATATATATATATATATATATATATATATAGATTATAGTTGTTCTAACCAGAGCAATATTTTAAAGAAAAGAGAAACCTCAAACGCTTTCTAGGTATAATGTGGATATTTTTTAATGTATATTATACTTTATTTTACAAAGTTTTTGCTACACGGGTTTCACGTCTTGTGACCTTCATCAGGTGAAGGATGATTATTTCCACATATTATTTAAAGGAATTAATATGGATTACCTCAGAAAACATTTCCTTTAAATAATATGTGGAAATAACTCATTCTTCTCTGATGAAGTCACAAGACCAAACTCGTGTAGCAAAAATTATAAAAATATATATATATATATATATATATATATATATATATATATATATATATATTTGTTGTGGTAGGATCCACCTAATTTGCATAGTGGAGTACCGACCATATAAAATATCGTTGGTACCGGGAAGAGGGGGAATCAAGAGATTCAACCAGAGACTCTGCCCGACTGCGACTCAGTCAACACATTCTCCAGGAACGGTCTTACCAGGAATATACAAAAGACTATATGTAAATATTGTGTACACTTTTTTTTTTCAATACATTTTGTTCTAAGTACATTTTGTGTTGCATTATTATTCCATGCATTGGTCAAGTTTCAACAATATATATATATATATATATATATATATATATATATATATATATATATATATATATAAATTATATTTTAAGGTAAAAGATAGACTTAACTTAAGATATAATTAAAAAATATAAGAAAAAAAATTACCTATTACAATTTTATAGCTACTATTTTATTAGTATACAATGGTTCATCCACTACGGGTAATTTACTTTATTTGGTTTATTCAACTTTGATATTGCTGTTTTGCCGTCTATTTGGCATTAATAGCATCGTGTATAAATGTACCAAATTTTTGATTTTATCAACTGGCCCATTTCAAAAGCTTCCTAAATATAAAAAAAATTCTTAAATTGTTTCTAACTTTATGCCTAACACCAACTCTTCAACAAATGGAACGTAATATTTGGCTACATCCATGATACATATGTCGTTGGCATATTCTCCACAATCGTCAAGGAGTGACATGTCTAAGCGTCGGTTTATCGTGACATGAAAAGATAACTCACCTTATTT